TCAAAAAATACTACAATTTTTTATTCAGTGTTTTCATACTGTGCTGCTCTCAATACAGTTAAATACAGCTAATTATGCTGTCTTTATAATGAAAGATACAGTATGTCTGTGTTCTTTAAGTGATCAGTATATGAAATCAATATGCTCAGAAAAGCAGTGTGAGGTAATTTATGATTAAAAACATGATAATAATGATAATATACTGCCATATTGGCTACCCTTACCTGGTTGAAATAATGTAGGCCAGTTTGTAACCATGGCTTAAATTTTGAGCTCTTTTTTTAAGTTTAGTTTAAGAACTTTTTAACTAATTTGGAACATTTGTTAATAGTCTAGCATGCTTGCTTTATGTGTTTAGTATGTTAGAAGTGTTTTTGTTTTTAATGTTTAACATTATTTGGCAGTTCTGAAATCAGGTCTCATTCTCATTCTGATTTCACATCAATGATTTACCAATGTTTTTAATATATTGCAAGACATTTCAATCGCAGTATGTAGCATTAATGTATTTATTGAACTACCCCAGTACTTTTTGGGATACTGTTTTGTTGTGAGCCAATTTTGATATGAATCCATTTGCTGTAATTGAGTGGCCTGACATGTTTGACCAGGGCATATGGTTTTGGTCTCTCTCTCTCGCTCTGAGATTTGATGGTGTTGCATTTAAACAATGTTATTGAACCAGTCTAAAAGAACACAGTGTACTTTACCCTTGTGCCAGCAACTTATACCCTGACTGTACATAAGCAAATAGCTTGAATAGCTGTAAGTTCAGCTATAAGTCCTTCCTGCAAAACTAAAGCAGAGTCTTAGACACAATAATAATGCTACAAATGCTACATATTCTTTTAAATCTACTCTTGGGTGTCATATCCAAACTTGGACTTCTTAACATTTCATTTACTGTTATTACTAATATATAATGAGTGCTTCCAGTCAACTCTGTTTTCTGGATCTGCATATGTGGTATGAATTCTTGTGAGGAAACTGTAATAGTATTTCATTAAGGTAGTCACTGGTGATTTGGGGTCATCACACTTAAGACCCTACATAGAGCCTGAAGTGGTCTATATTTAAACATGTATCCTCATTTGACCGTTCTGCAGAAGGAGCTTTAGATGTTCTGTAGGGAAGGCCATATGGTGAGTGTTGTTGAAGAGATGTTTACATTGGTTTGTACGAGGTCACCTGAGTTCTGACTAGAGCTTTAATCGAGCCTGTACTCAAATACCGCCTGAGAATTTTTCTCTCCAAATCTGACCCAACCTGACCTGCAGCAGGTCCGATTCTGACCCAAGCATTACAAAATTCTGACCTTCATGTTGTTCTTTGTCTTCCTATTAGGAGTAACTTTATTCAAAAGGCAAAGAGAATTTTGATTCTTGCTCCAGATGTTGACTTTATTTGCCAACCATTTCATTTTGCGTGTTCATTATGCAGAAGTACAAGCGTGCAGATTTCTTTTTAACCATGCTTGCCACTGAATAAAGCAAATGCTAATATGTTGACAGAGCGTGACAAGAGAATTAGCCTACTTGGCTCATCGTACAGCACCAAAAGCTAACTAACCTACCAAATAACAAACTTGCATAGCTGTCAACTCTCATGGTTTTGTAAAGAACTGCTAGTTAGAGATTCACGGTTTTTGCTTATGAAGCACTCTCACGGCAGTGAATGCAAATCTCATGTCTCAGTTGTCTGTTTGCAGCAGATTGCCCTTTTAACGATTTTATCAAATCCACGTATGCCAAATATGTTGATTCTGCACACTATATTTAAGCAGCCTACTAAAACAGTTGCTAATCAAAATCAACCAGCAGCTAAGTGGCTCTCTTACACAGCATAAAAAAAGAGAGACGTTGAGAAACTTAATTAGGGGAAAATGTGATGTGTTTGTAGGCATGCTCTATTAGTTGCAGTGTCAGGGCTATTTTTTAAGTAAATGTGAAACTATCAAGCAGTTACATTAAGAAATGGCTGTTTGGCAAACAAGCTTGCATGCAGAACTAACTGGGACAAAGATGTACTTTGTGTTGTTTAGATAAATGACAGAAAAACAGATAAAACATAGAACATAGATAGAAAAGGACCTAATACAGATAGTACGGGAACACTTTACTGAAGGTCAGGTTCATAAGGCTACATGACCATTACATAAGCCTTTAATGAGAACTGACATAAACCTACATAAACATTCATAAAGCTTCCAAATTCCCATAAGCGGTAGTTGTCGTAAAGTCAAGTTGACATAACACCTATGTCAAGTCCTGAAGTTTTTTGCTGACTCTAGGTTGTGTCATAACACTTTCTGGAGTGAAAAGCACTTTATGACAGCTAACTTTTTAGTGGCATTTTGTCCATTTCACCTTTTTGCTGTTTCTAATCCATTTCACAGGCACTTCTCAAAATACTGTACTGGGCATTTTAGTCCTGTCCAGTTCTAACCCAATGCAAATGTTTGCATAGGTTTATGTCAGTTATCTTGAAAGGCTTATGTGATAGTTGTGTAGCCTTATGAACTTGACCTGAAGTGTTACCAATAGTTCCTAATGTTGTTCAGGTAATCTTTAAGGGCTACAATATTAAGTTTGTGCTTATTGATTTTTTTCTGTGCTCCTGTTTGTTTCAAATCAGGAGGGCCAGTGCTCCTTGGTGAAAAGCTTACAATAGGACCCTGTATTCATGATCATAATTGATGGACCAACACTAAATAACACACATGACCAGCAAAGGATTGTGTTGTTTGTTGTCTTGTGCTGTAACGATCCAAGGCATGCTGGTGTCTGGGGATTAATTTTAACTCTTGACCTCTTTTTTACTCACTCACACACACTTATCTGAAGGATTACACCTGGCCTTTGCTCTTACCAGGCAGGGTGGCCAGACTAGAGATTTGCTGTAATTCTACTCTAAGCCTTCAAGCAGCACAGGTGCCATCAGGTGCTAGGTAGCCTCTTCTGTTCATTCGGCTCTTCTGTACTATCCAGACCGTCTTGAAAATCAGTAATATAGGCTGATTGGCAAAAAGCATCCAGACCTTTCCCTCCTCGAAGGGATGAGCATTTGTGACTTTTGATTGATATGTCACAATTCATGTGGTGGAAGTGCAGTAGCTGAAAAGCGAGCCTTCATGCTGACCCTGTGGACAAAGTATGGGAATAGGCAGCTCCTTTGCACCGAGATCAGACCAGATCTTTACAATAAGGTATGTATTAGCCCTCGCTTAGAACACATGGGGCCTGTTTTGCAAGGCTGTTTCGCAATTGTCTGGAAGAGCTAGCTACCAATTCAGCGATTGTTGAAATAACGTAGTCTGTCTGTCTGTTACTCTTATTGTGAGACCTATTCGCTGCATGTGTTTCGAATTGAGACGTGTAGTGCTCTGTTCAAGCTCTGTCTAATATTCATCCTGATTGTGGAACAGACTGACACACAGATGTATATACAAACAGAGAATGAGATACACATGAGAAACATAAGAGTTGTATTTCACTCGGAGAAACAGCTAAGCATATGTTTGCCATATCCATTTGGCAGGAGCTGCTCTGATTCAAAAGACCTTCTGTTTTGTTTTTTTTTTCCTGACCATGTCAGTTAATGTCTTCATTGCCTTTCTTTTGCTGCTCTCTGTTTATTTTTCCCTTTAATCACGGCTGCTTATTCTCTTATTTGGTGTAATTTGAAGTGTATTGAGTGACTCTGACATGTTTGTTTGATTTGAAAAGACTGGTCCCATTATTTCTCAAATTATGAGAAGTAAAATTTCCACATACTACCATCTGCATCAGCTTTCGCAAATGGTTTTCTCTAAAAGTTGGTAGATGTCATACACTCTTTGTCAGACTATTTGTACGTCTGTGATAAGACATTTACCCTTACTTCATTCAAAATGTAAACAGATTCCCATTGTATTTTAAGTCAGCAAGATTTTTACAGTTTATTTTATTGGAATACAGAATTGCGTTCATGGACGCGGGAAGTGGGGGTGCTGAAGGGGCTGGAGCATTCCCAGATTTCAGGATTATTTAATTGCAACTACTAAAATTAAGTAAAAGATAAGTTTAAACTCAGTGTAATAAACACCTAGTTGTGCTTGTTTTAAGGTAGAGTGTGTATTTATGTTTTATTTATATTTTCATAATCTGCAGTAGCCATGCACCGTTAATACAGCATTTTTAGTCTCTCACCACATTAAAGCGCATAATGATGTGTTCCGTTTGATGTAAATTACCCAGAAAAGAAAAAAAGGCAAATTATTTCTGCATGACAGCTCAGCATACGTTACAGTCTTATGAAAGTTTGAACTCCCCCGATCAAATTACAAGTTTTGTTGAAGTGAAAATACCAGTTAACACATCCTCTACCAGGAACAAATTTACATGTGGCATTTCTCTGCACGTTTTAGTGTACAGTTTATATATATTTGCTGAGTTTAACATTTTGGAAAAATGGCCTGTGCAAAAGTTATGGCACATTCTTTCCCAAAACATTTTTTTGTATAAATAAACAGTAATTGTGCATTAGAGAGTGTAGAGGTCTGTTCCTTGTAGAGGATGTGTAACTTCTTGTTCCTTTAGAAAATCAACAAAACATGTCATTTGACCAGGGGTGCCAAACTTTTGCATACAACTGTATATGTTGTGTAAAATTTCAGCTCCCTCAACTCTTAAACACCTTCCTGCATCCCTAAATGCATTGAAATACCAGCTGTACAGAACCTGTATTTTCTTGCTAGCGATTTGCTTAAAGATTTAATGATTGTTTTCCCTAATTGAAACATTATTATTTGATCCTCTTATCCTCTTATCATCTATATAATCTTTAATGGTCAAATAGTTTAAACTAAAACACATAAAAGCATCATATTGTGATGTTTATATATAATTTATAAGATATAATCATGTCAGTATATACTGTGACGTGTATAAATGCCGCTCCTAATGTCTGATAATTTGGACCATACAGAATGTTTGAAATGTCCTCCCTTCTCCCGAATTCAGGGTGAGCTTGACTCCACGGCAGAACCTCTCACGGATCATTCTTAAGGGAATCTTCCAGGGTGTGAAGGTCGTCCGCGGGCCTGACTGGGATTGGGGCAACCAAGACGGTAGGTGGAGGTGTCACAAACCACGTCACTCACTCAGCACTGCGTTGGAATGCGTTTATTCATCCCATTCCCTGTAGAGAATAAACATAATGCCGTAACACTGCTGCAGTGGATTGAATGGCATACCGTGCCGTCTCATTACATTCTAAGTGAGCTCAAGGTTTGAATGCATTTTCTTGTGGTTGGTGCCAAGACTCTTAATTAGCCTTTGAAGTAACTTGTGGTGTCTGCTCAACAGATGTCTTCCAAAAAAGGACACGTCCTCATGTTAGTGGAACATGTACTTCTAATAGGCATTTATCTTTGGTGCCGAGGTGAAGGGTAAAGGGGCAGCTATATTCAGCCCTGAGTAAACGGTGGTAGAATGGAAGTTATGAGTAATTACTGTCACGTTGTCACTTGATTGTTGTCTTAAAGGGGAAGTGGTTCAGATATAATTCCCTGCTTATTGCTTGTGTACTGTAGAAAAAAAGTATCACATTTTCTACCGCGTTTTACTAGATATTGTGTAGAGTAGAAATACTGGATGACGTCACATCAGTTCCTCCTCGTCAAGACGTTGTCTTGCCAGGCCAAGACAACTGCCTATCTGCCTTTGTGCGTATGTACTTGTCAACATTTGAACTTGAACTCTCAGCAGTTTGCCTTTTGAAGTGGTCCTTTTAGGTTTTTTCACTCTGAGTAATGTCTTTGATGCTGAATGAGTCAAAATGTCCCTGCTGTGTTTCTGCAATTTCGTCTTGGGGGCTTTTGGTGATAATTGATGTGCACAAGTGTGAATAAACAGTGCTTCTTTCTCCATGTGATTTTTTTTCCCACTGCTTTCTGTAATAGAACAGGATTTTCTTCGTACTGTGTTTTTGTTTATTCTCATGCTAAACATCTCCCCAGATCTTCTGTACCAAAGAAGAAGTATCCTAAACATTCAGTGCATTAGTTATGTAGTGATATGATATTTAGCTTGTTTTATTGTTCTGTGCATATTGTGCTTGTGGATTTGTGTAGTAGTGGCAGTAAGTAGTGGTAGTAGTGGTTGTTGGACATTGTATGATGATCTGTGACAGAATTAGGGTATTTTTTTTGTGATTGTGCCCTTGTAATTAGGTTTTGTAGTCTTTTGAAAGAGCTTCTTTAGAGCTTAGTCATTTATTTGTCCAAATCTAAAGTGCATGTTGAACTCTGATTTATCCATCAGTTTCTTTCTTTTGTTCCTTGTGCCTTGTTGGCTTTGTATTGCTTTTTTTTTGTTTTTCATGCGTCTAATGTTATGCTGAGATCCCTGCGCTCTCCTGCGTGTGCATCTGTGTTGTCCGTAATCAGGAGGAGAAGGGAAGATCGGGAAGGTGGTCGATATTCGGGGTTGGGACCAGGAGTCGGGACGCAGTGTAGCCAGCGTCACGTGGTCTAATGGGACTACCAACGTCTACAGAATGGGTCACAAGGGCAAGGTCGACCTCAAATATGTGTCTGATGGACAAGGAGGCTACTACTACAAGGAGCACCTGCCCAAGCTAGGTGGGAGTAGGAAAAGAATGAAGAAGATTTGAAACTGTCGTTAATCTCTGAACTAGGATTTATTTATATTTTTATGATTTAAGGTTAAATTTACAGTTGAAAATTGAATTATCTCAGTTTAAATAGAGGGTTGGGCGAAAGATCAAATTTAGACTAGAAGTGGTCGATCAATCAAGGCATATTTGATGTCCACAATCGGTTTCTTTTTTTAGCGCTGGAGCTATGAGGCTAACGTTGCTAACAAAACCTAAAAGTCTAAAGTCACTCAAATCTTGTCCACAAATACATCTTCAAATCTTCTGTCAACCTGCTCAAACCACATCCAGGTCTTTATTAAGGTCTCACAGACTTGTCCTTTAGTGCACAGTATGACTTACTGTGAGCTGTAGAAATGAACAAAATGTCACCAAGTAGCATTTTTGTCAAAGGTATTGTTCCAAATTCCAAACCACTTTCATGTGCACTCAGCATTTGTAATCTGTGTTGCTTTTTTTTACAAATAACTGTTAATCTTGAATTTTTTAACTGACGATTTATGTTCATCAGTAGAAATAACAGAAATGTATTCTGGCATCCATATGCCTCCATGACTCATGCACATGCAAAGGGAAGTCAGATTAACACTTAAATTTCACATCTGGGATCCAAAAAAATCTGCTCTTCTTTGGGGGAGTCGAAATTTGACACAACATCTGTTGTCTCAAGTGGCAGCCTTTACATTAGCCTAAACAGTAAAGTTTCATTCATTTTATAGTTGCAGTAGGTCATACTGTGTCCTGAACCACATCAACAAGTTTGCAAGACCATAGTGAAGTGCTGGATGCAGAATGTGCTGGTTGAGAGATGTAAAAGATTTGGTTGACTATTGGCTTTGTGTTTTTAGCAACTCTAGCCCCATAACTACAGCACTACACTAAAGAAAGCAAAATTTGGACTCTAAGCATATCTTGACTGATTGACTACATCTGAGATAAGTGGAATTTAGATTTTTTTTTGCTAAACCATTCGTTTAAGGTTAAAGTTATAGTTAAAAATTGAACCTTCTTATGTTTAAAGATTTGGTTAAAGTTATTGGTCTTAGGCAAGATTTGGGGTCTGTTTTTTACTTTCAGATGTTAGAGCGTGTACCATATACAGGTGCTGAAAGTGCTGTTCTTGTGTTTTCAGGTGAACATGCAGAACTGCACAGGCAGGAGAGTGCTGATGGTCACACATTCCAGCAAGGTGATAAGGTCAAATGTTTGCTGGAGGTGGACATCCTCAGGCAGATGCAGGAGGGCCACGGAGGCTGGAACCCTAAAATGGCAGAGGTGAGAGACCTTAATTTTTTGTATTTATTATTATTTTTTTTTAATTTTGGACACAGAGACTTCAAAAATCATCAAATAAGGGGACATACGTGGATGTAGCTATGGACCCTTTTCACACCTCTGTATTCAATGCAGCAGACGTAGTCTTAGTGGGTAAAGCATTATTAGTGGCAGCATTTACAAGTGAGAATGTAGAGGGCTCACTTATTTTGACATCCTCATTAAGATACTGTCATTCACCTAATTTTCCATGTATTAATTCCATGAAAGACGTTGTTAGTTTGGTTTTCCATTGTCAAAGAAGAACAGACCTGGCAAGGCCTACGTTTAAAGTAGACTACTTGTGCCTGGTGCTTCAACACTGGACGGTGGAGCAGTATGAATTTAAAGAAGTTAAAAAGCATAAAAAGCTTTAAAAACTGGTGGTGTTATCTTAGTTAGCTAATGTTAGGTAAATGAGCCAGTGAGCCAGTGAACTGTGTGGACTTGTTGCAGGGTTATGTGTAGCGATTTGTAGAGTAAACTTTAATATTGGAGATATTATTTCTGAAGTAAAAAAAAGAGTATTTTACACTCTTGTAAACACCAACACTGCTGTAATGCTTCCCCACTATGAAGACTGCAGAATACAAAAGTGTGAAAAGAGTCTATTGCTGTCGACCCACAGAAAACTGTAAAACCTAGAATCTAAAGCAGAAGTACCCAGCTCTGGTCCTGGAGATCTACCGCCCTGGAGAGTTTAGTTCCAGCACACCTGGCTCTCATATTCAGACACTTCTGAAGGACTTGATTTAACTGGTTCAGGTGTGTTATATTAGAGTTGGAGCTAAACTCTGCAGGAGGACAGATCTCCAAGACTAGCATTGGACACTCCTGCTGTGAAAGACTGTGAAAATAGACAAGAAATAAGTTGAGAGGTTTTATTACGCAATTTTCATAGTTAAAAAAAGGTGCTAACTGTTGACACGTTCTTTTATAAGCACTGCAAAATGGAGAAATAAGTCTGATAGATTGACAAAATATCAGTGAATGAATCCAGCAATGTCATGGTAATGTTGTTTGTTTGGATGTGCTTTTTCTGTACGTAGTACATCTGCAGAATCGGGACAGTGCACAGGATAACAGACCGAGGGGATGTCAGAGTCCAGTACAGTAACAATATACGCTGGACTTTCCACCCTGGCGCGCTGACTAAGGTAAGCAGAGCCAGGCCCAGCGGGACTGGTGTACAGTGAAGCCAGCTGATGATGGATAACTGTGGGGGAACTCTAAAGGGTGGAAGGAGCGCAGTGGGAGAGGCTGGGTTACACTGTGTGTGTGATTTACTGCTGTGCAGTTTCTCTCAATTACATAAAAGGATATTAAGTACTATTTCATTTTAAAACTCTCACCTTAATTAAGTCTGATTTGTGATATTTTATCCCCTAATAAGTAGCTGATCCCAGTCCCAGTATTGCAGTACTCATTGTTCCTTTGCCTCATCTCTAAGCCTTCATTGAAATTTTTTTCTTAAAACGTATGAACAGGGGGCAAATGACCTCAAAACAACATTATAATGTCCAAAATATATTATCAAAATGTGGCTGACATAGTTTAACTTAACATTCTTATGAAGTGAAATGTTGTTTTGTGTATTTTGCCTCTTTTTGTATATGAAGTGTCCCAGGCAAAAATGCCTTTAAAAAGGAATTCTCAGAAATTACAGATGTTCCTTTTCTTTATAAGAGCAATATAATGTGTTCCTTACAATCTTAAACATATTTATAAATTTGTGTATTTCAAATTTTAGCCTAATTATCAATACCAGTACATTGATTTAACCTACAAACTGATATTGATAAGTTTGTGTAACCTAAATGCTGATATTGATAAGTTTGTGGTACCAAAATATTGATATTGATAAAGCTGTGTAACTTGAATATCGATATTGACAAATAAGTGTAACCTAAATATTGATATTGATACATTTGTGTAACCCAAACATTGACTAATGTTATCGGCCATACAGTATATCGATCAAACCCTACAGTGGCTCAACTGACCCAATTGCAAAATGTCTTTCTCATGTTTAAATCCAACACAAATAGATGACCATAATGATCAGTGTCCATTCTGAGCGGATGACCGTTTTGTAAGACGTGTACGTGTTCGTACACTTTGTGTTAGTGATTAGTTAAATCCCCAGCCAGCTCTAGGTGATAGGTATTTATAGAAGTTGCTCGGACTCACAATAGAGCCTTACCTGTAGATGCCTCATCTTGTCTTTCTTTCTCTCATTTCTCTCTCTCTTGCTCGCTCTCTCTCTCTCTCTCTCTCTCTCTCTCTCTCTCTCTCTCTCTCTCTCTCTTTCTGTAGGTGAATACATTCGCAGTAGGCGAGCTGGTGAGGGTTCTGGATGATATTGACAGCGTGAAGAGACTACAAGCCGGCCATGGAGAGTGGACAGACAGCATGTCGTCTGTATGTTCCTTAAGTCAGCTCAACACAAACTTGTAGTGTTAATGGTGCGGATACGTAATGTTGCGTATAACACCTTGTAGCAGCGTTTTCACCCCAAGCAGACAATGTAACTAAACACCTCACTGCTTAATAAAAGCAAAGAATCACAGTTGATTGGTAAATTGCACACATTTGAATACAACAGCTTTCTGTTCTGCAAATTTAATCTCAAAGCTTTTCTTAAATGAACCTTATAATTATAGGGAGTGCTAACTCAAAGTAACTGGCAAAAACCAGTATGTTCTTTTCTCAATTTACACTGCAACCAAGTGGAAATTTATCATATTAAAGGCAGAATAAACTGTCAAGTCGTCAAGAACTGTTAATATGAAAGCTGATCTCATTTCTTCCATTGGTTTAATGATGTTGACACTAGGGAAAATAGGTTTCCTTGATGAAGTGTCAGTTTCTTTTTTTCTTGGCTACTTCACTTTAAATAACAGACAGAAATGAATATGTATAGTTGGATCACAACTCAACCATGTGATTATGTAGAAATTCTGAAAAAGGTCAAATTCCCCCTTAAAGGCAGTCATTTTGATGGACTACTATCAACTCCTTGAAATCACATCCCATGCTGATTTTGTAGCTTAATTAACTTTATTTAACATTGCAGTAGTCTGCTCAAAGGGGAAACAATATCATAATATTATAATAGCCATTAGATATGTTTGGATTGAACAACTTGAGCCAAAGAAAAACCTTATACAGCCCCATTTCCAAAAAAGTTGGGAAGCTGTGCAAAATAATAGCTAAAGAAAAACAGAATGCGATGACGTGCAAATCATTTAAACCCTATATTTAACTGAAAATAGTTCAGACAACATATCAAATGTTAAAAATATAGGCCCATTTTGAATTTGATGCCAGCAATACCTTTCAAAAAAGCTGGGACGGGGGTGTGTTGGTTTTACGAAAGTGTTCCTGAGCTCATGCGGTGATTTCCGCTACAGAATGTTATGTTTTTAATGCAGTGTCACCTATATTTTTAAAAAAACAATCAAATTTCTCGGTTTTAAAATTTGATGTGTTGTCTTTGTATCATTCGATTAAACATAGGGTTTAAATGATTTGCACGTCATTGCATTCTGTTTTTATTTACATTTTCACAGCGTCCCAATTTTTTGGAAACGGGGTTGTATCAACCATTCCACCCTTTTGTTGAATTTTCAGTTACTTTGTTTTCTATTTTATATTGTACAACCTTTTACATTAAAAAGCCAAACTTTGCTTTACGGTTTATGTTTTAGTGACCCTTTATGTTAGTACAGGGCATCAACCAATGATGTTCCATGCTTAGATGATTTTTACAAAAAATGTCACATATGCTGTTCGTTGCAAGGGCTCAGTTATGTACAGTAGCCTTTTAGCAGCGGTTAGACCAGCAAAAAATTATTTCTGATTTGTTAATGACATTATGAATGCTAATTACCTCCCCTTTTACATGGGAAGGTTTAAAGCAGGAAGCTGTTAGTCCTCAAATAAGATGGGCATTGTGCCTGCTGTCACCTATAAACAGGCTTAGCTGCTCTAAGATTTATCCTGCTTATTTAACTATAAATAAGTTATTACACTTGTATCTCTCATCGTCTCTGGAAAAAGCGTCACAGGGGTTTGTGTTCTCTGAAAGCTTTTACTGCAAGCCGTACTGCATTCTCTTTATTGCCTAATCCTGTGTGCCTTGTTCTGCTCAAGGTGGTCATAGAGCTATGCTACACATTCAAATTCGATTTGATTTGACATTGATTGGGAAGTATTAGGCATGTAACAGTTATGAAAGTCCTCTGACCTCAGTTGGCCCGGACTTCTGTTTCCTGTGAGATTGCGTGTACTGTTCCAGGTCATGACTCAGATTAGCTGTACAAATTGATTCCTTTTTGAATGAGACGTAGCATAGTTGAAAAAGACAGCAAATATTAGACTAAAGATTACAGGATAAAATGGAACTGGGTCAAGTTTCACATTCATCAAGATAATAGTGTTTGTGCTTACATTGTGACCTGTGTGTGTGGGTGTGTTATCAGGCTCTGGGGCAGGTTGGCAAGGTGTTGAAGGTGTACGCGGACGGCGACCTGCGCGTGGCTTTCGGAGGACAAACCTGGACCTTCAACCCCGCCTGCCTGTCCGGCCAGCCTGGTGAGGTGGATGCAAATCTGATGACGGCGGAGAACCCCAGCGAATCTGGAAGTAAGAATTTGCATGATGCAAATAAATATCCCACCCCTTTTCTATAAAGGCCACACCCCCTTATTTTTCAGCACGTTGCTTTGTTTGGTTTGCACTGAATTTCTTGTTGTCTCTGATGTCTTCTATTTCTTTTACCTATTTTTATGCAGATCATTTCCATGCTTTTTCCACTGAGCCATAACATAAAGTGTGAACTAATATTTCATTTTTCCTTTTAGGCTAATCGAAAACTCTCTCTCTCATTCATAAGTGCTTACACATCCTGGAGGGACTTTGTGCACATTTCTGTCCATTTAGTCTGTAACCTCTCACCAGTCTGTAGTGTCTCAATGTCAAGCAAATTCACTCTTTCTCTCTCCCTCGCATGCGTGACACAGAGCAGGGTGTGCAAAGAGCACTTGTGTAATGCGTGCCTCTTGTGCATGGTGACATTTTGACTCATTCTGCTGGTCCAGACTGTCTGTTCAGCTTTCGAACTGAGAGAAGACTATTGAATGTGATTAAATCGTCTGTCATTGTCTCCCTCTTCCTCCACCCTTCCAAACCCCCACACCCCCAACAATTTCTGTACAGGTACAGTCATTTCAGTCCTGGAGAAGCTGCTGTCTCAGTCCACAGAGCAGGATAACCCCGGGCGGCTGGTTATCGAGGCTGCGCACGGCAGCGCTGCCAAAGTCCGCGAGCTGGTGCAGAAACATCCCGACAAGGTGGGTGACCGCAGTGTCACAGTAGACAAACCACGCAAGTTTTGATGCTTGAATTTAGCTTCCACAACTAGGAGTCATGTTTTGTACTGTTTGTGAAGGTCATTCATATGTAACAAAGCACTTACACCGAAAATGGTTATGGCGATGATTATTCCAACATGTTCATTACTCCAAGGCTACATTCAGGCTGCAGGTAAAAGTGACCCAGATCCAGTTTCCTGCCCAAGTCTGATTTTGTTGTTTGGTTGCTCACATGATTCAAAATCCTGGAAAAGTCATGGAATGTAGACGCCTGGAAAACTCATGGACAGACGCTAAGTAACACTTTTTGAAACCAATCCCAGTCACTCCATTTAAACGGCATTCTGACTTACCAGTTAATGAGGTTTAAATGTTAAACCAATATTATATTAATATTTAAATAATGCAGGCCTTTTTTTTCCTCTCAGAACAGTGGTCTGTGTTAAATTAGTGCTGGACGGTACTAATAAAATTCAGAATGATCACATTTTCGAATATGTGACAGTATCACACTATCGATGATATTAAAATTTAGCATTAACTAAGTTAATAAGCTCTTGCTTCCTGAGTTTCCTTATTTTTATGGATTTTAAGCAAATGACTCACAGTTAACTGCCAGGGCTTGCATGCCATAAGTAAAGTGCACAAAATAAGATGTTCTTAATCCATCTAATCATTAAAACAGGAAAGAAATATCATATGGTATGTCAGTATCACAGTATACGGGTGTATATAATGTGAGCTGTATCTAACAAAAGTCTAAACCGATCATGCTCCTGAACTGTCCTGCACATTCAAAAGTACGCTAAGGCTGCAGCAAGTGTTAGATAAAACTCAGTAAATTCAATAATTAAAATATTTAACAGAAAAACAATTTGAATAACTGGTGTTTTTTACCCATTTTTATGAAAGCACATGCATCAGTGCATCATTTTTACCCATCCAATGGGGAAAAAAAATTGTTTATGAAGCCAAACACTAGTCACCAGCAGAGCTCAGTAGCATCTGAAGAAAGCAATCATCTGCCTACACGTCACACAAAAACAGCAATTCAACCTTTTTTCATGTCAGTCACACTGTCTTTTTGTGACAAAGCCATGGTGATACCTCGGCAGTAGCTAGAAGTTGTGCTAACAAGACTAGATTAGAGATCTAATTTGAGTAGATAATGACATTTTTTCCTTTTCCTACTGCTCTGGATTACTAGCTAGCAAGCTCACCACTATATTTATTTCCAAGAATAAACGACAGCGAGGTGATTAAAAGAAATTTTTTAAGTTTAATTAAAAATAACAAACAAAAAATAAAGTGTCAATAATAACAAATAATATAATCATAACTGTAATAAGATGAAAAATACTCATTAAAGTGAAACATATTTTGTGCTTTCCTTATTCTCGTAGAATATTTTAAATGTTTTATAGAATATTTACAGATGAATATTGAGTTGGATTGACTTAAAAGTCGCACAGATTCAAATCTGACTGTTTAGACGGAAGTCGCATTGCCACATATTGGATATGCATCAGATCGCGGTACCACAAATGAATATGGCCCAAATCTGAATTGAAACTGTCTGATTCAATGTGTTTTTTGCAGCTCATGCACAAAACAAACCTGCTTCACATATGAAGAAAACAGATTTCAGTCAGATTTGGGCCACTTGTACCTGTAGTGTGAATGTAGCCTAATACTACCTTTATGTGCCGTGAGCAATGCGGAGTGTCTTTTATTTCATCTGTCATATGTACAGCATGGTGTTTAAACAGACCACGCAAGCAACATGACGGTGCATCCCTCAAGCAGCACATAATCTCGATCACTGGTCACCAGCCCTCTTCCTTGAGATCGACCTTCCGTCTCCAACCCTGATCTAACACACCTCCTTCAGCTAATCAAAGACTTCTCAAGGCAATAATTAGATGGATCAGGAGGGGCTAATTAGGGTTGGAGCTAAAGTCTGCAGGAAGGTGGATCTCCAGGAGTGCTGTTTGTGACGGCTGATCTAGATAATAAGTCTGAAGCCTATTTTTTCCATATACCACTTGCAGCCTGCAACCAAATACAATAAATAAAAACTTTGAAAATGAAATGTAAAAAAAAAAAAACAGCATCAAAATGCAACAACAGTTGTACAATTCATAGTCATTATAAAATTGCTAGTTAAGCACTTCATGATGCACATTTTCTGCTGGTTATATAGACTTGAAATCATAGCCTAAAACCTGAAAACTGCTACGGGTAACTAATTTGACTGTGAATCTCTTTGGTAAATGGATGTCTGACGTCCTTTTTGGCTGCTGTACTGTTCTGCAGCACAAATGTTGACCATGCACAAGCAGTTAGGCTGCTGTACCAGTTGTGCCGAGGGAGTGCTTGCGTGTGTGTGTGCGTGTGTGTGAGTTTTGAGTGTATGAGTGAAACAAATTGCCCATCAGTGACCTCTTTGAGACATAGTTAAATCCAATTTGAAACCAGTCTGAGACCTAAACAGTTTTCTCCTGTTTCTGAAATTCAGCTCCTGAGAAATAATGTTTGGGTTTTCTCACTTTAATCAAAATGTTGTCTCCCAGATGGCTTAACCCTTTTGTGTTTTACTCACCTCATCGTCTAAACATTTACATAAGAAAAGTATAAGTTTACCTTCTTACATACACATAACACAAACATTGCATATCTATTTGATCATAAAAGTTAGATTTAAGGTATATAATATAGAAAAGATATCTGAAGTAGGCCTAATCCTAGACTAAATCGAATGGGCAAAAGGGATTTTCTCTTGATAATCCCTTATACTTTGTGCAAAGGCCTAATATTTGAAAGCTGGACCTCAGTGAGCGGGAGTAATGATATTCATATGTGGATTGATTGACTGTTTTATTGCTTCACAGGTGGACATAAAGAATCAGGGAAAGACGGCGCTGCAGGTAGCTGCGCACCAGGGCCATATGGAAGTGGTGAAGGTCCTGCTTCAAGCCAACAGCAGCATCGAAGCCAAGGATGAGGATGGAGACGCAGCACTGCACTACACAGCATTCGGGTAAATATTCAGCCCTAATTCTGCTTTACATTCATTCAAATATGCAGAATTCCATGCTCCAAAAATCAGAAGGGCGGATTTGTGTGTGCTCACAGAAGGACCTTAACAAAGACTGGAACCTAAAATTAGCTCTAGGTAGTTTTACACTGCATAACCTAGTGATAGCACTAAACTGAAAGATCCACTTCACTCAAACGTGCTGAAGATATTGATAATGAAAGAGCTTAAGTATTCTCACATATTCAGATGTTTGTTTTTGTTATTTAATATACTCCCCAAACAATTATTCACTTTAAATTTACATACCTAATGTATTTTGACATGTATTCGTGAAAGCGTGTATTCATAAACATAAACAAAAATAAGTTTAAAAAATATATATATTCAGAATCCACAAATTCATATACATTAGTGCTTTGTTGCAAAGCCATCATTGGCAGTAACAGCTTCGAGACATCTACAGTAAGAAGTAATTGACTTCTGCAGGGTTATAGTTCAATTTTAGCCCATTTTTCCCATCTTCAATTCCCCAAGGTTATGAGGGTCCCTCTGATGGGATCATCCATACATTTTCAGTGGAATTCAGTTTTCACTTTGAAGCCAGATTGACTAGGCCGTGTGAGCACCTCCACCTTTTCTTTTAGAAAAAATGTCTTAAGTTGTTTTGGTTTTGTGTTGGAGGTCATTGTCTTGATGAATCATCCATGTTCTCCTCGATTCAGTTTCTCTGCTGATAAGAATAAATTCTCTGCTGTTATGTTCCTTTCATCACACATTCATATTTCTTTTGATGACATGTAATGGCCCAGTAATGTTTATGGAGAAGTAGGTCCGTATCATGATGTGCCTGCCACAGAGTTTTACTTTGAGTGCAATGTTCTTTGGATCATTCGCACAACCCTTCCTTCTCCAAACATGAACTGAATTATTGCCAAAGGGCTCTATTTGATTTATATGACCAGACTACATTGTTCCAAAACAATGAACTGATTAGACTGATTTGTCTAAATGCTTGTGTGCAAATTTTAGATTTGCCTGTCTGTAGCAGAGGAGTTTTGCATGGGGTATAGGAATAGAGATGATTGTGGTGCAATCATTTATAGCCTTGTTAATATTTTTGGTTTTCAATTTTTCAGTTTGTTGCAGTCATTCAGTAGAAGTGCTTGCATATCACGTTTGCGTGCAATTGAAGTTCTCATTGTGAACATGCAGAACTTCTTGTGCGTTAAAGAGTAATTCTTAGATAGTACGTCTCAGTGTTCTTCCACACTGGTCTAAAAACAAGTGAAGTATTTGAGAACTCATAAAGGATGGTTGTCAGAATACATCTGTCAGCACTTCCACTGGCACCAAAATGTCAGTTGCAGGGGAACCTTTCAAGCTCTCCACTAGAACTCAGAACTGCCATTGTAGTGCAGCACAAGTCTCAGTTGAATTCTTCTTGCATTTTGCATTCATGCCTCAGTATGATTCCATATGCACTGTCAATACTGAGCCTGAAGTCTATATCTAATAATAATAAGTGTAATTTAAGTATTTACATTGCTCCTTTCAGATCCAATAAAAAAAACTCTGATATATGACGAGGGAAAGGTCATGTAGAAGATCCTAAGTTGAGATTTAAACAGTGAAAGTACAGAGTAGCCACAAAGAGATTGTGGTAAAGAGTTCCAGATTGTGGCTGCACTGAACAACATGCCACCCTGGAAAGTTTACAGTTTAGAATAGCGCTGCACCAAAATGGAAAATCCTTAACAGAAACCAAAACAAAATAAAGCTGACAAATGAATAAAAGCAGTTTACAAAAAATAAACATACTAAAAATATTACTGTATGGAGGCTACAATATGTGCCATGAAATCCAGTATCCTGGAGCCCAGAGGATGATTTGTTCATCTGTTACTCCATCATTCCCTTATTTTAATAGTTTACTCTCCAGTTGAAAAACAGAGGCTTAAGATGGCGTAGATGAGCTCGCAGGAACTTTTCTTTTTGCCTCTGTTGTTTTGTTGTATTCTGAATATCGAGTTGGATGTCGAGTTTTTAAGTGGTATCAGACCTATATTGCAGATATTACTGTGTGCTGTACCTCCTCTTGATACTTAATATGAACAGAGAGTAGAAAGTACTTATCTAATGTCTCTTGTGAAGTAGTCCAACACAGCTGACATTTTCACTGTTGATCCACTGCTGCTGAAACTGTTTTAATGTTTAAACAGAGTAAATAGCATCTTTAATCGCTGTTTCTCATTTTTATTACCATTAAATTTGTATTTGCATTAGATTTGTATAATCTTAGATTTTGATGCCTATTTTTTGCTATTTTATAATTTTTTTTGGCCATTTGTTCTCTTTCAGCAGAACGTTTTTGACAGCCATTTAAAGGGAGTCAAAGAGTTTTTATGAAAACAGTAGCTCAGTAAAATAAGCAGGGGCTAGACACTGAAGGGCTTTAAAACTTAAGAAAAAAAAGTATTAGTTTTAATACTAAGTATTAAATACACGATGATACTGGTAAGCAGTGAAGCTGATATAGAGTGGATGATATCAGTAACACGGACATCTGAATTGTGTGCTTTGTAGCATTAATGCTGTATGTCTGTGTTGTCTGTGTGGCTGTGCAGGAACCAGGCAGAGATAGCACGTCTCCTGCTGAGCAAAGGGGCCAATGTCAACCTTCTCAACAACTCCATGTGTACCGCCCTCCACATTGCGGTCAACAAGGGCTTCACCGACGTGGTGAGGGTGCTGACCGAGCATTCGGCTGACGTTAACCTGCAGGTGCGTGAGTTCATACGACAGGGATGTGCATTCTAATTCTTTTGATCTGTACAAGTTAATGAAAGTATATTTGAAGTTATGTTTGAAATTAACAAGATTCTGACCGATATCAATGTATCATTACAAATCATTTTTCCACTGCCATTGATTTTTCCTCTAGTTTTTTTTTTCCTGAAAAATACTGAAGAGTTAAAAATGAAATAAAATATTGAGCGTAATATGGAACGAGCAGGGCTTTTTGTAGGGAGGATGAAGGCATAGAGAAGGGTCCAAAAGTTTGGAATACATTCAAAATCTGGGATTTTTTTCATTGATGAGAACTTATGAATAAAAAATAACAAGTAAAATGAAGTACTATTTGAGATTCTGCACTATTTTCTAGGTCACTATTTTATCTTATTCTTTCTTATTCCTTCCATTGAACCACAGATGAATTTCAGCTGAATTTGAGTTTTGCACAAACTTAGGAAGCTCATGCCAGCCTAAGTACAAGCTGTCATAACACAAAAGAATTGCATTCCATATACTAAGAATTTCTGAAATTAATCATGAGATTGTGAGTTTGGTGCCTGGCAATGCCACAGCTATTTACGGCTGAGGGTCTAGGAGGGCACTATTGACCTCGCTCTCTCTGTTTGGTTAGGATGGGTCTCCCTCTCCCCATCACTCAACGAGGTGTTAGCCAGTGTGGGCTCTTGTTAGCTGAAGTAACAGAAGTAGCAGTTAGTGTTCTCCTTCATACACAGTGATCATGTTGCATTAACAGCAGTTTGAAAACGTGGTGGTGCTTCACATGACTCGGAGGAAGCATGTGCCAGCCTTCATCCTCCTAGCCCTGGTAGTGTCGTGTGATTTGGGGAGACCTGGCTAGCAGGTGGGATTGGACATGACTGAAGTGGAGAAATTTAGGGGAGAAAATGGGGGGGAAATACCAAAAAAAAAGAAATTCTGAAATTCATGTAAATATTTCAGTGATTTTGCTTTTCACTCAGATTGTTATGCTGATAATGTAATTAGTAATGAAAAAAAATATGTTAAATTTGAAAAGAATGCAAAGTAGAATCTTCACTAGTGGCTTCATGCTTTTGGATGCCTGTGTAATCAAAATAAAGTATGGAGCTAGAAAAAGGATGGAGAATGTAGCCCTACTCTTTAGGCTACAGCCTACATGATTGATTATGCTTGGCCATATTTTCTCCCTGACTTCCTGTAACCAACAAATGTAACAGATATTTCAAAAATGATTTCAGTATTCAAATACTGACACCTGGAACAGTTAACAGAGTATTCAGTTATCCATCCACCTGCCCACACAAATGCAGCATCCTTCAAATACTAGTCTGCAGTTTGTTAAGTCATACAAATGTCAGTCACGACCTTCAGTCTGACTAGACTTGTCATAACACAGTTCTTGTCAGTACTCTACCACCCATAGTCACACAGGCCTGGCCGCTTACTATCGTTTTCACAAGCAGACTGTGCTCACCATGGCTTGCCAGCCAGAGGAGTGAAATCTTGCATCATTAAGACCAATTAGGTCGTTGTCCGATTGCGCTGTGGGTCTTTGCTGGGGAAGAGCTTTGCCGTGGTGCAGTAGCACACTGCTGTGCTGGACACACTGCTAAGCTGCTCTGTTTGGACCCCACGCTCCACATTTTCCACTTGAGCTGTGGGAGCTCAGCTGGAGCGGAAAGGCTCCCTGGAGGAGTCTTCAAATACACACACACACATACACACATACGTGCACGCCAGCCAGGGTAATATCTCTGACAGCACTGTGCAAAAAAAACTTCCAAGCACTGTCAGTCACACTTTCAAGATGTGCATCAGAGATGTCCAGTCCTGCTCCTGGAGATCTACTCACTTTGAGTTTAGTTCCAAAAAGGTCAGTACAGGAAATATTACCGGAAGGGTAGATCTCCAGGAACTGGACTGGGCAGACCTGATGTACATCCACTATCACTCAAAATTATGTTACTAATTTTGCTGCATACTGTGTGCAAAATGTACAGTGTGAAAAAGTTTAGACACCACTTGTAAAATTACATTTTGTTGATGAGTTCTCTATAAAGAGAAAACTTAAATATGTTGTTTTTCTGTAAATTTAGTGTACAATTTTAGTGTATTTGGTGAGCCTAATTTATTTTTTTTGTTAAAGGTTCAATTGTTGTTTTGTTAAAGGTACGATTGTAACAATGAAATGAATTTTTCAAAATGCTAGTTGAATAAAATATCAGAATGTTTGTTGGTTCACATTTACATACTAAATAAATGCAACTACAGCATCCAGAAGTTGCAATATTAACAGGAAATAGTAGGTAAAACAGCAAGAATATCTAATCTATTCTATCTATTCTATAAGCATCGACTGAGCCAAACCATGTGTTGGGCTCTAACTACAAATTGTAAACAGGATGAAAAAACAAACAGTTGTTAAAAAATACATTAATAAAATTAAAAATAAAGTGAAATTAAAATAAAACTGTACCCATGATAAATGCGCGAAGCTTACTGTGAAGTATTTTTTTGTGATAACGATAACTTATTGTCCAAACCTTGAGTTAGTATCTGACTTACATTGTGAAAGTTTACGTTGTAGTAATTATTATTGAAACAATATGACTAATAGCTCTAAATTTGCACGCTTTACTGTTTGCTTGTGTTTATAAACACAGGTATGTGTGTGTGTGTGTGTGTGTGTGTGCACATAAACATAGCCTGTGTGCTGGGTAAGTAGGGTGAATATTGCTGTGGGCAATGCAGCTGCACGCCTCAATATGATTCAGCTGTATATCCACTCAGCTGCTTCCAGCCAGCATACATTTGCATTACCTCTCTACTTACATTAACATTAGACACACGTGCTCTTGACCTACGCAAATGAAAGGCAGCATCGAAATCCTCTGGGATATGACTGGCTAATACTAGATGTGACAGCCATACTCGGATGTATGTGGAAGTACATACTAAGACAAAAATCAATGAAGATAGGCTTCATAAGGAAGAGGAGAAATGGATGGACTAAGGCTGGGTCAAGTTGTCTGGAGTATGGACAGATAAGTAGAATGTGCTGCAGGCATTCCAGAGTGAAGTGTTACTCCAAGACATTCAAAGTGAATGCATTTGCAACCACTCTGATGAGCCAGAGAGAGAATTCATTGCCAGATAGCTGGTGGTGTTTAATTTCCAGTAGCTAGCAGCTTTGGAAAGCTGATTCTGCCAAAAGCTGGGGTGTGGAACACTGGAGCCCTCTGGTAAGGTGCCATGAGAGCAGTGCACACTGGGGCTTTTTAACAAATGGCTGTCCTTGCTCTTTCGTTTTCTCCATGCAGACAGATAGGATCTGAGAGGATAGTGCGATGCACATACTCTCTGTGATAAGGCCAAAAGTGTAACAAATAGTACCACAGTATCCTGTGATATTTGAAAATTATGACAGTATTTCAGAATTTTGTTAAATTTCTATTCCACATCTACCTAATAAACTTCCAAATCAGACAAGCAGAATTTTCAGTTGATCTCAGTCAATGTTAAACCATCAGTCTAACAACTATGATTACTAAGTGTTAGGTGCTAACTGGGAAATTGGGGCTGGTTGTGGTGCTACCTCTAATTTAGCTAGCAGGCAAAAATCTATACACACCACAGAACAGGTTCCAATCTGGTTAACGAATGGAAAAAGTGCATACCACCCAACTGTAGCTAAAAGAAATATTGTGATTCTTAATTTTATATCATTGTTATGAAGTTGGTGTTCTAACCTTAATTTCATTTGTGGTTTAGTAATGCACAGTGATATCAGGATATTATTAAAAAAAAACATTTCATAATAACCTATATTTAGGTATGTATTTATTGTACTCTGGAAATGCAGGACATTTAGTTGACGTTTACAAGAGCAGAACATGTAGTTGATGTTTTATTTTGGCCATATCGCCCATGATATTTCTACATTTTTGTGTAACAGCACTGACATCAGCAGGTAAGTACATGAAAAATATCCGATCTTGGCATTAGCCCAGAATTCCCATATTGGTGCATTCCTTGTTTCTTTGCAAGGTTGCTTACGAAAGTCTCTGGAAGTCTTCAATTTTGACTGGTTGATGTGTTGAAAGTCAAAGTCCAATCTACTTGTTCATTTGGTAAATTTGGTCTTTCAAAGCAACCTCGTCTTTGTTTCTCAGGATTCGTACGGGGACACGCCTTTGCATGATGCCATCGCTAAGGACTTTAGGAGCATCATTGAAATCCTCACTGTGGTGCCCAACATCGATTTCACCCAGCAGAACAACCGTGGCTTCAACCTGCTGCACCATGCTGCTTTGAAGGGCAACAAACTGTGAGTTCCCATGCTAATGCTAGGAACATTTTACCAGAAAGTCATGTCATGTGGTATTTATTGTCACTCCTCAGTTTAACTACTATACACTGGAACGAAGTGTTGTTCTTCAGGTTCTGCGGTGCACATTTCAGAGTACTACAAACAAGTGCATGTGCATGACTGTGAAATGAGGGCAGAATATGCAATAAATACACCAGACAATAAACATACAGGGCATTAAATACACATGACAAACATACAAAATAGTAAATACACATAATGCAGCATATAAGTGAAGGAACCGGTGCAAATATTTTCAACTGTAAACTGTACAGAAAGGTTGAGGTCTTGTAGCATCAATCAAAGAATTATATAATATAAAGTGCCAGTGCGGATGGTTAAGGTGTGTGATCAGTCTATGATGGATGTTGGAAAAGGGTCTAGCTGAACGTTGGGGCTCATCAATGTGTTCTGAAATCAGAGAAGAAGCTGTTGGAGTCTGGTGGTGGAACGGATGCTCTCGTTCCTTCTGCTAGATTGAAAGTGGATGAAAAGTCCATTAAAGAGGTGAGAGGGGTCATCCACAATGCTGGTGGCCTTTGCAGATGCAGTGCTTGTGATAGGGAGTGTCAGCGGTAGATAGAAATACCCCAGCCTGCTGGGCTGTTTTGGTGTTGAGGGTCCAGGTGATGTTGTCGGTGATGTGCTCGTCAAGGAACTTGGAGCTTTTGTATCTCTACAGCTGATCCATTTTTTGCAGTGGAGAGTGATCACCAGTGTTCTTCTTGAATACAACAATCATCTCCTTCATTGTATCAACATTAAGAGGTAGATTTTTGTCTCTTTGGCTTTCTAATGGAAAAGGTCCAGGTTGAATAGTGGTAGCTGCCATTGTTATTCATGTTAGCTTTGGGGAAATATATTCCTTTATTGTAAATGCAGAGTTACTAGTAGGACAAGCTTTATTTATTTAATGATTGGTAAAACATGTACGGCATGAGAAAATGAAAAAAACTGAAACTGGCTTGATAGCAAGGAAATCCTGAATAATGAATATCAATCTAGTAGTTATCACATCTGCTAAAGGTGAAACATGGTGAGTATGATGAAATTGGTGAAATGGTGAAATTACAGATCATAGGTTAAAAGCAGCGTAGCGCCTAAGTTTGCTTTTGCGTTTATTTTTTCCGCTGGTGGGGACGCCTGTAAGAGGGCAGTTGAAATTTAACCCAAATTTGGCATTAAGAGAACAGTATGCAAATCTAGCTCATGAGTATCTTAAAGGCTTAGTAGATAACCCAAAGCTAGGACAGATGCTCAGAGGGAACATATGCGCACACAAACAGATGGGTGTTTTTTTTTTCTAGTTTTAAAAGCAAAGGAATGAATTTGAGGTTATATTGATTTGAATGTGCTGTTTGAAGGGCGATATTAAGTATGCTAGAGGCCTGGGAAACTTTGTGTTCCCTTGTTGTTTATGCTGTGAGGCCCCTTTAGTGAACGCACACAATTCACTATGACACTGATCTAAAACTGCAGGATATATTTAGCAGTATAAACTCATATAAGATTAGTATTCCTAAGGGCAGGTGCATATTAGTGTTCTTAATACTATACTAACTCCATTTACTGTGAAAACAGTGTCCTGGCTCCTGTAGCTGTGGCATTTTTTTCTCTTTAAAGTGTGGGAGAGTAGACCTGGTTTTCCTGGTTATTAGAAAGCGTGTTCTCTTGATGAATTTCTTGAATTGTGTGTGTGTCTCCCACTGTTTGGCAAGGTTTTCCTCCCTCTCTGACTTTCCTTACACAGTGATTCAGTGTTCTAGGCAGTCCCATACAGTGACTTGCATTTTCTGTGAGGCTGTCCCATCCTGTTAGGTAATTGCTACATAGTTATTCATATGGTTCAGCCTGTGCTGCTGTATCCTGGTTTTCTGTGAAGCGTGGGTGGAGTACTTGAACACAGTTTTGAGTTGGGTAGGAGAGTAACTAGTTTGTGTTTGTGATAATTTGTTAGGACATTGAGTGTAAGAGGTGTTAGATTAGTAGCACTGAGGAATTTTACGGTTAGTTTCCCAACTCTGGGTTCTGTTTGTTGGTCAAATGATATCTCAGTCTAACCTGCAGAAACAGCCACGTCGTTGAACACATTTACATATGACTGAAGTACTTTCGCCCGCCCTTTCGTGTTGAAGTGATGAGGAGTATTATTACTGTGGACCTATTGGAGTGGGTTGTTTTGTGTTTCTGCCTGTCAGGAAGCAAAAGTAAGGCAGCATCGGGCAGCCAATCAGAGCACAGAAGCCTCAACAACTAAATATAATCTAAATATAATTTTAGTTTTCTTTCAGTTGTTAAGGTATCCCCTTTGCCTTTGTTGCAGCTTCCATTCTTTACACAAGACTTTGTTTTCAATGAAATTTGCAGGGATATTTTTCCACTCCTCCAATGTTCAGTTATAGAAGTTGGTTGCATTTTCAGGCTTCTGATGGTCCAAGTAATCCCATACACATTCAGTGATGTTGCAGTCTGGACTCTGGGGTGGTCAGTCTATTGTTCTGAGAACAGCAGCTTTTTTGTTTTTCTTCTTTTTTGCGTATTTCTTTAAATTAATAACTTGTACTTAATGACCATTTTGACTGGTAATTAAATAACTGAAGGGTGCTGTCTGACCTTTGCTCAGTACTGTACAGGTACAAGTTTATAAGGCACAGGACATAAAAGGGAAAAAAAAAATAAAATGCTAAAAAAAAAAATGTCGACTATGGTCTCTTTAAGAGCCTGAAAGCCTCTGGAGATGTCTGTATTTTAGTCGACCAAAAGGCCCCAATTAGGCGTTTTTTTTTTATTTTATCGAGTAGTGCAAGTATGTCACTGTCTGAGCTTCGCTACGAGGGGTGCAGGAGGCAGAGGGTGTGAGTGTCATTTGGGACGCGTTCCGTCTCTCTAGCCCTCCAGATGCTCTTGTTTCAGTGCCCCACACATTGTTAGACATTTTGCCCAGTTCTGTGAGAATTTTGACCCAGATTCTTTCATCACATTGGCACAGTTAACTTAAATCGCCAAGGGGATGAAAAGTGAATACTGCCAGAGTCACATACGCTCACACAGAAACACACACACGCACACACACACACACATGCATATCACTGTCGCTTGCAAATATAGCCTAGATCTTTAAAAAATACATCATGTGCACTTTAAGTTGCACTTGTATGTAGTCTTAATGTATATCAGCGGGGGGCGCTGCCTGTTGCCTAATGCCCCTGGCCATAACATTTCACATTTTGGCTGCTAAAAATGCAGCGGCCCTTACGACAAATCAGCTGAATGTTCATACATTTCACGAAAATCCACCATTAGTAACAAGACAACCACTTTCACTCTCCACCTGAGATCTATAGTCTGTTCAGTCAAACTGCTTCAAATTAGATTTTATCAGAATTTGCCAACTATTACGTCAGCAATATCACTGCACTAGCAAATGTGACAGCAAGTGACAACTTCTGTTTCAACTTCCAAGCCTTTCTTCATAGCCTGCCATGATGGCTGGATTATTAAAATATGGCTTTACCGTCTGTGGCCATGCTGATGCCGTCATTATATGCTTTTCTAACATTACTCATTCTCATATTTAAGTACCATAACATCACGGTCAGAGATGCTAGTCTATTTAATATATATATATATATATATATATATATATATATATATATATATATATATATATATATGATTTCAGAGCTACATTTGAAAAGCCCTGTGAGCAAACGGCACTGAGCGGTAGTTACTTTCAGTTCTCACACATAAAGCCTAGCCCTTTGTATTCACAGCTGTATATTCATGCATGCTACTCGCTGCTGAATTTTCTTTGTTTCGTTCTTTCAATCTGAGATATGGTGGCCACTTCATGTAGATGGCCCAGACTCAGGATCTTTCTTTTTAAAAGACCCATTTGACCATTTGTTATTGATGGATGAGTTTCATTTGATCGAAAGGTAAAATGCTTTACAATGACTTGCACTGCAAGCTATAGGTTTTCACCCCAACAGTTAATGAGCTCGATATAAATATGACAATTTATTTTTGCAAATAATCAACAGTATTTGTCATTTTTAATATTATATTTGGCTAAATATCTATATTGTAATGAATTTTTGCAGTTGCACAAAAAAAAAAAACATTGGTCTTTGGACCCTCAGCGGATCCACAGATTGAAAAACGCTGCCACAGACAACAATGAAAAAAGCTCGCTTGAGAGAGTTTGAAAAGACGTTGCCTGAACGGCCCCTACAACTGTAAAACACAAGTACCATACAGGCTTGAGCACATTACTGTAGAAAGTACAGACATTTTTACAGTGTGAAATTATCATGTTTCTGTAGTTGTCTGCAAATTCTTAGCTATCACAAGATTCATTTGCTTTGCGAGTGACCAGTGCAAATTTTTTATCCATCTAGACCTGAATATGATCACATGCTCTCACTGTAGGGTGTGGAACACACACACAGAGCCCACAGCCTTCTTACCAAGGCTGTCCCTGCTTCTTGTACTCCGTGCACCCTGCAGTGACAGCTTTTTCCTTGTATGGGGAGAACGATGCTGAGTCCTCAGAGGGGGAGAGAGAGAATACTGACTCTCTCAGGCCAGAAGAATCATAAAACAAATGGCAGATTTGTTCTGGCAACTGTCATATGTGCAGTACCGCAGTTTAGCAGCTTTGCCCTGGCAGTCATTCGCCTCTACATCAACCAGGGTGGGAGGAGGGCAGGAGGGATGAGGGTTGTAGGGAGGAGGAGAGAGAGAGAGTTGTATTTTCCCATAAATACACGCTTATCCTTTTATTTATTTATTTTTGTACTTTATATATTTTTTGTACTTGTACTTTTTGCCTGACATTCTCAAGCGCCTCTCAGTCGCATATTTTTAGTCCTTCCCGTCTCCTCTCTCTCTTTCTCTCTTTCTGCATGTCTGCATGTCTGCATGTCTGCATGTCTGTCTGTCTTTTTTATGATCCT